TGGTTTGATATGAAATGGTTCATTGTAGGGAAATGTACTGACTCAGATTTCTTTATAGTGGTGGTGATAGGAACCAGGGGTCGCCATGCCCATCACACATTTTATTTACTACTCAAAACCAACTGTGAACCTGTAGGTGTGTATTGCGTAATGTTGATGTTGGTACATGTGCTTATCCATCACAAAGGAATTCAAATTGATTGATTAAGATACATTAAGTCAAAACTTTATCATAAAACTACCATAAACATTGATTCAGTCATCATGCAGCACATATCTAACAATTTTATATAATAACTTTAAGAGGGGGCTTTCAGAGGCATTCAATTCCTCAGATGTCTCCACCATCACCTCCACTTTGAACACTTCTGAATCATAGCTAGGTTTCTCTAGGACAGGGCGTTTCACACCATATCACATCATATATTTAATCCGTGGAGTTCCCCTTTAAGTCTTAACTAACTCAAGCACCAGTCACTCGATGTCTCTCCCTCTAAATATTTCTGCTTTATCTTCTAAACTCATGCGAGTGAAGCACCAAACCTGGTCTGTGATGTGAAGCCATAGGCTTGCTAGCCAGCAAGCTAATAAGCCCACACATCACAAAGCCTGATTAGTTTCTGATTTTGGGACACTCCTGCACCATTCAACTTCACTCACTCAAATTTTATGCTCTTATTTTGAAACTTATAACATTTTTCTTCTCAGTCAGTAAAGTGATCTTTTCTTTATGCTGTAGAAAACATGAATATTTAAGATAATATCCGATTGAAAATTATTAGTTTTTTTTTAACTTAAAATATTCTGTTGTCTGACTGTTCCTGTAGTCTCTCAAACTCAAAACACAACACAACACATACCCTCATATGCAAAAGTTTGTGCGCCCCGGCGAAGTGAGCTTTTGTTGCTTTCCTTTCGAACAAAACTTCTGCACATTAAATAAATGTTGAAAGAAAATAAATAAAAAAAGGAAAAAAGTTACCAGATTACATGTTACTGTTTTTTTTAGGATTCTGTTTCTTCTGTTTATAGTTATTTGTTGTTTTATGGTGTAGTATCTTGGCCTATTATCACTTTGACAAACATAAAGAGACAAATGGAAGTGTTTGTTAATGTTGTTTATTGATGTTTAAGTGAAAAATACACATTCTGGTTCTTCACTCTCTCCCTTTACAACACCAAAGTGTTTTCCAGAAGCTAATCTTCACTTTACTCTTCACTCTCGTGTCCTTCAAGGCCTCCTTTCTAATTTTCTCCTCAGCCTTCTTTTGCATTTTGAGCTCCTTGGCCTTCTTCTTTTGGATCTTCTTCCATTCTTGTCTTTCTTCCTTGCTCATTTTCTCACTTGGGATTCGGCTTATGCGGTTTTGCAGCTCCTGCATCAGCCTGTGCTTCTGAATGACCACCAAAGGAACCACTGATAGAATCCTGCTCTCACTCTCCTTAATCACAGCTATGGGATCCCTCATCATCTCCTGTTCACGCTCCAGCTCCTCCGTCTTCTGCTTCATCATGGCCTTGTACTTGACGTTCACCACCAGATTTTTGGAGCGGAGCTCATCCGATATCGCCCAGATCTTCTCCACCTTCTTCTTTTCTTCTTTCCACATCTTTCTCATCTCCTCCATCTCTTCGTCTTTCATCAGGAGCTCACCCTGTAGCTGCTCATTCGCCTCTAAGAGCTGCTGGATGCACTTCTTCATCTGAGCTTCTAGATGTTCTTTCTCTAGTGCCTCACCAGCTTTTCTCATCTGTCCACTCTTTTTTGGGCTCCTCCCTCTCTGTCCTTCAACCTTTCAGCTGTCTCACTGGATGCTTCTTCCATCTTTCTGGCTTGGTCCACCTGCCAGTCCTTTGTCTTGAGGTCAGCACTGAGTTTCTCCACACGCAACACCAGGCAGGCCTCCTTGACCATCCACCGTCCTCGTTCCACCCTTCTAATTCTTTCTACCTGCTCTCTTTCTTTCTTTCTGTCCATCCTCTCAGTCACCAGCAGATGGTTCAAGTGCTTTATGTGATCCCGAAGCCTCTTCCATGCCACTTGGATTCTATCTTCATCAAGACAAGAGATCTTGTAATCCAAGTACTCTATATCAGTTCTTACGTTCTCCACATAATCACCTTCCATTTTTCTTTTCACGCGTCTAGTCGAGACACTGCAATGTACAGATCGTTAGTTTGAAGAAATCCCCAAATAAAGCATACAATATTTAATGCAACTGTAGGAGAGATGCTGACCTTCCACTGCTATGCGAAGTTCAGAAGTGAAGAATTGATGTTCTGTAGGCTTATTTATAGACTTTCATGAATGCCGTCACAAACGATCGTGATGACGTCACTCCACATATAACTTTGCCCTACCAAATCATTCTGCAGCAAACCCCAACATTATAATGCCTGCAGTTTCCTATCAATAGTTTCCCAATGACGTCACAATCGCGCTGCCACCAATTTTGTCGTCAACCTAAAGTTCACTTAGCGGTGCTGTGGCGGTTTGTAATGAGATAATAAAGCCATAGCCGATCCAGCAAAGGCAGTAAAACACATTTTTGAAACACCTTTTAAACGTGTAAAGCACATTAAGCAGCGTATTTGAGTGTACTGACTTGATTTCACTCTACTTGTGGTTGTACTGATGACAAACGAGAGCTAAAATCTGAGCTGACATTTCCCGCTGCGATATTATTTTCGTGTTCCAAACCGCACACTAGCACACTAAATAGTATACAAAAGTAGCGCATATATCAGTAGAAGTGCACTATTTAGTGTAGTAGGTGAAGTACATAAGTGTTTGGTTCGGGACGCAGCGTTAGATCAGCCAGTGAGACGCGACCAGCAGCTCCAACGGCTGATTCTAGCGTCGCTGTGCTGCACATTAACTGCTCAGTAAACATCTCCAAGCAAAAGTTTGACGTAATTTGTTGATCGAGGATCAGTTATTGGCGTAAACCGCTGCATTTATTGAGTTAAATTAAGGCATTTATTGAGCTGAGCTGATGTTGGCTTTGTATTCGCCAACTTTCGAAATTCGTTCTACATTTAAGGGATCTCGGTGTAACTGCAGCACCATTTAAGGTGGAACTGAAAACTCAAATGAGAAGCTGGCGGGTAAGAACTTGAGCTTGATATATATGCATGAGTTTATTATTTTTGAACTTTGGCAGCTTTGGTAGCCACTTTTATCAGTTTTTATAAAATATAACACACTGGAATGTTCTGAACTCTCGAGAAACGCAGGTTATACGGATCCAGTCCACCAATCTAGCTAATCTTCACCAAACGCGTTTTGAAGCCTTCCGAAGTTTCCAGCCAGCTGTTGACCCTTTTCCTATGTTTACTTGTAGACCTTATGTAGCAAAAGCGACACAAAAAGCTCCAACAGATCAAAAGAGCAATTCAAAAAGAGCAAACAATGTCATTCTGACAGTGAACTGTTAGTTTAACACTTTATTATCTTTTATTACTTCACTGCATTAGATGGGTTACATCACCAGACCCAACCAGAAGTACTTTGTTGCACATCTAATGTAGATGCAGTCTATCTCTTGATGTGGAGGCAGAAACAGGGGATTTGGAGGCAGCCAAATAAGTTCTTGTACGTTTGTACACTCTCTGAAATAAAGGTACGAAACTGTCAATGGGGCAGTACCCCTCTTGTTACTGGCGTGGTACCCTCAAGGGTACATCTCAGTACCTTTAATCAGGGATCATACATTTTCTAAGTTGTACTGACTCCACACACCCCGTCTCGTCTCCAGGCTTTTTATTTTATTGTTCTGTTTTAAAACATTAGGTTATGAGAAGGTACAAATATGTACTTTCCACCTGGAAAAACTTATTTAAGATACAAAATTGGACCTACAAGGGTTCATTTACATTGTTTGTACCTTGATGAACGAAAAATGTACTTTCACATTATGTTTGTGTTTCTAATCAGAGCAATGATGTGCACAGACTGGCTGAATGTACCACACTGTAAAAATGAAACGTCTGCTCAACTTAAACGTCTAAGGTAACTTTTATACACAGCGTTTCTTGAGTTAACCTGAGGACACCTAAATCAATCTTCCCAGTTCAGCCAAAAGATCTCCCTCGCATTTCTAGTTCTGCCTCTCACATAGACAAGTAATAAATCATTTATTTTTTACTCAGTGACCCCGCTAGCCTGGACTATTTCCATCACGCAGTTTCTCTTCCTGGGCTCCCTGTTTTGGGGGGCTGTGGCATTGCTGGGGCTCCTGGTGTCGGGGTGGAGGCGCGGTTGGGAATTCTTTATTATTTACATCACTGATGTGCAGAACGAAAACATCTGACTTGGGAAATCTTTTGACGAAACTAAGAAATTACTCAGCTTTCTGTGTCCATCCCAAATCCCAACGGGGTTGAACCCCAAAATGTTTTATGATAAGCAACAACGAGGCTTGTTTAAAAATAAGATATATATTTTTAATACGTAGTTCGACTTAAATGTCATTAAATCTACCTCACGCTTGCATTCGTTAGAACTCACTAACTGTTCCAAATCACTCATCTTTTCTTGTCTTTTTAATGGCGAAACAACAACAACAAAAAACATATCTACACAATCTACACTTCAATTTCTTTGTGTCGTATTTTAATTCAATTGTTCTGTTTATTAACATCTTACTAACGAAGTCGGTAAGTTTATAACGCTTCAGGTGTTAATAAAACGCTGCTCATGCTTTTGGATCGCTTGTTTGAAAAGTAGATCCTCCTACGTGAAGTAAAGCCAGTCAGGTTTGGTGAAAGCTGCTATTGGATCAAAAGGATGGGCGGAGACGCCCTGGCGTCACGCGCACAGACCTCTGGCGTCCAATAGCAGGACAAGCCACGCCCCATGAAGATATTAAAATTCATGAGATACACATACGTAAAGAATATGTAGAATGAGTCATGATGATTGGTCCGCTCCAAACGTCCAACCACCAATAGGAATAAAGGTGCCAGTTGTACAAAAAAAAGCCTCAGCAGACACCAGGCATCATACCAAAATAATATTTATTAACATCTAGTGACAATAATGTCTGTTACATCTATGAAGGAGCAAGTTCAAACTGTTTCCTAAATAAAAGTCTGTTCACACACTGTTAATGGGAGGTAACACTAAAATAACACCAAAATAAAAACGGCTTGCGTCGTAATGCAATGCAACTGTTTTAGCTGGAGTAAGGCTACCGGTCCAAAAACAGCATGTTTTAACATTTTTATTTCAACTTATTACAACTAGGTATTATTAAATGTGGCCAAGAGGCATCATGTAGTATGAATATTATACACACACACACACACACATATATATATATATATATATATATATATATATATATATATACATATATATACATACATATATATATATATATATATATATATATATATATATATATATATATATATATATATTCCTTCAGTAACATTCTTGACTTAGCATTAATCAATTTGACATTAATTTGGTGCAAATGCTCTCTAAGCTTGAACACAGATCTGTCTATTTTTTTCAAAGGGGAGTTCTTAAGTTTTCAATCTTACTAAGTAGTAAGTAAGTAGAAAGTAATAGAAAATCCAGATTTGATTGTGAAAACAAATATGAAAATTACATGTAAAAAATATATTAAATGGGTTAGGTAGGTTAGATGTTCATAACTATACAAACTTACATCTGTTCAGATCAGATTAAGAAATGTTCTGTGCCATTTTTCCTGGACCCCTCAAACTACCAAGTTTCCCTTTCTTATACTCTTTGGTTTCTGAGCATGTTTTTATTTTAGTCAAAACATTAGCATTTGGATAACATAATGTAACATAATGTAACATACTGCCACTTGTTTAACTGCATCTACATTTTAAATAGTTCACACTCATGACAAACAGATCAAAAAGTGACATTTGTTGTGCATTAAAACAGTTGCATCGCTAAATTGCAAATAACACACCAAATGAGTTGACTTACAATAAGAAAAAGTGGCCCTAGTTGCAATGACGCTTAAAATAATAAATAATTACACAGAGTTTGCCACAAAAGCCATACAGATTTGAGTACTAATTTTTACAGCTCAGTTAACCTCACTGGCTTGTGAGAGACTTATGCAGGCATGTTGGAAATATTCAGTGCAAACCAGATCAGCTTTTACTGACCACAATTCAAAATCCAAGAAAACTTATTAAATAATTGCCCTTCAGTTTAAAATATGTAGTTACTGGGCCTCTTTTGTAGTTTCATAACAGCATAATCTGTTTAACAAAGCATTCAAGTCTGAATGGCTTAATAACAAAAACAGCTACTTTCACAATTCATTAGCCTAGAGAGTTTCATAAACAAAGCTGCATAGCTACAATGCTTCCCATTCCCTTTAGATCATTTACAGGTCTGCTCTCATGGCAAAGGAGATTACTTCAGTATTGACCACTTGATCTGTTCTTTTGCAGACTGTAACACCTGGAAAAAAGTAAAAGAGTGATATGTTTAGTTTATGTAGTGATATGGCCATATGTCCTGTGAGATCTGCCCATAATGTTGTTCATGCTGAGTGAAAAAGAAATAAAAGACTATTAAGATTTGCAACACATACAGTGGTCAACTATAAAGATGATGGGAATGTGCAATGATATGTTTGAAGGGAACTTTTCTCAGAGAAAATTTTACATTTCCGCCACCAGGTGGCGCATGGAGACCACTATTCAGTAAGAGTGTTTTTTTCAGTAACATGCAACTGGATGACATCAATGTAAAGGGGAAGTCCACTGATTTTTCAAAATATCTGCATGATACTATAGTATTATTATTATAGATGTAAACAAAGTCATTCAGAGTGGTTTCGTGTGAAATGCTCCATTCCAGAGAAACTGAGTCAGAATTGTGATGGTAAAAGGAACCAGACGTTCAGGGCATTTAATGTCTCTAAAAGCTTCATCACAGAAAGCTATTACATGAAACAATAGGGGAAAAGAATTAAGAATAATGATATCCCAGACACTATTTCATGACAGTTTTATATATATCTTAAAATTTGTATGACCCCTGGCTCCTATCACCACATGGGAATGATTGCAGCTATATTCCTAATAATTTTATTCAGACCACAATATACAGTAATGTAAGATATCCTAGGGTTGAGTATTTCTCTGTTGAGCAGAGTTCAAAATCTGTCCCTTGCTCAATTAGAGAGAAGGCTCTTCTGTTACTCTTAGGATAAATGTTCTCTATAGGACCATTTTTAAACAATTCTTTAAAGAACTTTAAACAACAGATTCTCCATCATAGAGAAGAACTATTTAACCATGCAAATATCCATCCAAGTATTCAAAATCACTCAGGGCCTTTTTGAAGAACCTCTGAAAAGTCACTTTTAAGGGTGTATTGGTTTGTATAGGTTCTGAATTTGTATACTTGGATTTAAAAATAGATTTGTTGACTTCAATGTTAGCAAAAATAAATGTGTAAAGAAATGTAATCTAAGAGAGTTATATTTCGTTTGACAAACCTTCTTTTGGAACTGCAATTTTCAATTGTTTACTTGAGTAGGATTAACTATAGTTGTATGAGCTTTTGTCTAACAAGCTTTCTAATGAGCTTTTTGTCTCATTTGTAATATTGTGAGTGTCCAAACAAGCACACACACACACACACACACACACACACACATATATATATATATATATATATATATATATATACACACACACACACATACATAGACAGACACTGTCCAAAGAAAAACTTGCATCTCGATTTTTGTCTATTATTTGAGCTTAGAAGCTGCCTTTACACCATGTGAATATTCCATGATAAATGGACCAATAGAAATGCTCCCAAACACACTGGTCAGTCACTTTCTCTTACCATTCTCAGTCAGACTGCGTGTATGCATGTGTGTGTGTGTGTGCGTGTGTGTGTATGTGTGTGAGCACACTTACATTAGAGGTGAGAGCCAGTTTCTCAGTGATATGCTATGTGGGGTGAGGGTTACAGAGCAGGGTTAGTGTATAAAGCTCAGATTAGACACAAAAAAAGCACAGCTGATACTGCTGAAAATGTTAGAGTGTTAGAGCGGTGACATGCATCAAGACTGAGATGCATTTCATCTAAGCACAACATTAAGCAGCATTCTTATTAAAGCAGTATTTTGAGCACTCTACTAGCATGAGCAATGTACTAGGCTTGCATACTACACTAGGACACAGCAGTGCACAGTGTAGCGTCTGCTCAGAATTTAGTTACAAAATTAAAAAAGATTACAAAAATGTATGAGGGACAAAACTTTTGTGCGTGCAAGTGCATTTTTATTACCTGAGCCACACTCTGCTCTGATAGTGGGTTGTCATCAGCCTGAAACAAAAGACAAACTTTAGACAGATAAACCAGAGCACACTGTAACAGGTGGATGCACATACATACAATCGTATACAAAAGACTGGACACCCCTGGTCAAATGTAATGTTTTGTTGATTTTCTGAGTGAAAATGAATAAAGTGCTTCATTCCAAAATGCTGTAACAACACTGGATATAACACAGCTTTTGAACAGAAAAACAGTTGATCTGTAGTGGAAACACATTTTCATATCTCTAATTAAGGTGGTATATATCAAAATATCGCATCTCAACAGCATACATCATGAAAAAAAGAAAATTCTTCAAAGTGGCCTACAATGTTTTTTGGAATGAAACCCTTCAAGTGTGTTTCTCTCCAGGGAACTCACCTTTGCATATTTTCATACACAATTACTGTTTATTTGCTAAATTTAACATATTAAATAAAATAAAAAAATAAATAAAACAAACATTGTCTGTGTAAAAGTTATGACTCATTTTATATTTGTGTGTTTTTTCCAAATGTTAAACACAAATAAATAGAAATTATGCACTACATTTTGAAGAAAGATGCCATATTTAATTTATTCTCTGTAGAGAATGTGTTAACTTTTTTCACATAGAAAATCAACAAGATTTATTTTTTTATTTGCTTGGAGGAGTTTAAATGTTTGCATATGACTATATATAAACCAAACACAAATAAGAAGAGCTGGACAAACAACAAAACACACCAAGCAGTAAAGTAGATGATATATTGAGAAAAGGTAAATCTGATTAAATTTTAGCTATACAGACTAACAATGCCTACAAATAACAATCACAATCGGAAGATTTTTGCTCAAAACACGTAGTTGGCAATTGGCCAATTTATCACTTGATTTTGGCTAATTTGTGTTGTAATTTTATGATGTAAATTAGTCAGGTAAGTGCACTCTGGCTGTTGGAATGTCGTTGCTACACCTACAGTCATATGCAAAAGTTTGAATACCCCTGGTTTGTTGATTTTCTAAGAGAAAATGAGTTACAACATCCTCATAATTAAATATTGCATTTTATGTATATTTTAATAAATATGTATTATGTTTTTAGTGCTGAGTTTTTTTATGTGTTTAACATATTTTCATTTGAAAAATTTACAACACATGTAATTTGACATGGGTGTCTGGTATACACCTGTATACCAAAATGTGGTAGCACAATTAAGCTTGACTCATTGTGTTAAAAATGCATTACTTTCAATGCAGAGCTTTATTTCATTCATGTTGCTTAGATATACAGCTGATATTTTCATTTAAGAATTTTAAATGCCAGTTTGCCACATTAAAGATCAAATAATGTTCTTTATATTATAACTTTGGCCAACAGAAAATTACTGGAAATGTGCTTGTGTGTTTCATGTGTTCATTTAGCCTACACAGTGTGAGCTTGGGAAAAAAGCAGTTTGCCAATTTGGCTGTAAAGACACTGGAATCAACCATAAAAATTCATAATCCCCCCCAACTTAGCTTCATAAGACAGTTAGTCTCACTCTGAGATTTAGCAGGGCAAAACAAAAGAAAAATGTAATGATAAAGTCCTAATGGTGCTATTATAAAGGTCTAAATATAGTAAAAACTGCTAAGCATACGCCCTCAAACAGTACTTTAGACAGAACATGCTAATCACTGCTTTAACCCTTAGAGGTAAAAAAACAGATACATGTTGTCATACGACATTAATTACAGTACTGTGTAAAAGGCACAATTACATTCAAAAGGCTATTAATTTGGTGAGACAGCAATTTATTTGCCCAATAAACAGCCACTAATATTGCAATAACAACTTGACCATTTCCAAACATCTCCTCGAGGAAGCCCCATATTATTTGTAGTAGTCGCGCAATACCTGCTTTGGCTAATTAATGCCTCATTAAGGTAAATCAGGTGTGCTGGTGAAACTGAACAAATCAGTGCAATTGCTGGGGGCACTAAGGAAAAATCTGGAACCAAACCTGTGTTCTTCTGACCAGCTCAGAAGATATCAACTACTTTTCTGGAAACAATATATTTTTGAAATTCTTGCATAAATGTTTGTATTTATTTGGATGTTATAAGATGTTTTACCTGCAAATACACAGTTAGTGTCCATATGGTTTAAAACGACTTGCTTACAATTTTTTATGTCCCACTTGTAGTTTGTTGAAACAAAGAAATTTGAAACATATAGCACATTTGTTTCAAGTCTGATGCAAAGTTATTTTTGTGTGTATTGTGTTGCAGAAAGAAAAAAACTTTCTTTACTTTTTTAAAATGTTTTTGTTGCCTCAACATAAAAAATAGAAATAAAGTTGATGCATATTAAAAGCTACTTACACAATGTAAATTGGCTGTAAATGTGATTAACTGCTTAACTCATTGTGTCATTAAGTATCATCACTGTTAAAAAAAGCAAGTATCTCCACAATCTTTATTTTTCTACATCATTTGAACACAGCAGCTGCTCTTTAGCTTGTGTGAAAATTTCATGATAAATGGACCAACAGAAATGCTCCAAAATTGCTTGAAATAAAATCTCTTTACATTAACTTACATTGAATATTAGGAACGTTCTTGCCTTCTCCTGAAGGTTAGCATTTCGGAAATACTTGTTTTTCATACAGTGACGATATGTAAATACATGATTACGTTTAATTTCATAGCAACCAAAAGTAATACCTTGCGGCATCTAAGGGTTAACTAAGAGTTGAAAAATTAATGTGGGGTTTAGTTGTGTTAATGTGTCCAGTTAAACAAAAAACAGACAATTTTAAATATATATTGTGTTTAAATGCTCAAAAGCAAGTATCAGTGTAAGTTCTAGAAGATGGCCTATGTAAGACTGTCTTCATAAAGTCTGCTCGGGCAGCAAAGTGTCGTTTCTGCTTCAGAGAGTGAGCACACTTTTCCACACCATGCAGTTACCTGACCATATCCTCTCTCCCTCCCCCCACAGCCCTCTCTCTCTGTGAGGAGAAGGAGGAGGAGAGGAGGGGTGGTCTCTGTGAGTTATAAAAGCTGGCTCTTCTGGCCCTGGCCCTCCATGTTACCCGTGATGTAATCGAAGAGGACAAAGCCAAAGGCCTGCTCCGACACACACTGACAGGGTAGAGGAGTGAATATTTAGCCATGTGAGACTGTATGTGCGTCTGAAAATGCAAATATAGCTTGAACGGTTTGTATCATTCATGCCTAATGCTTAATAATGATGTTGCTCAGTCAACCTGAAGCTATTTTCTTCCACTGTTAACAGTCCAGACAGAAGCCAACCTAACAGCCCCAACCAAGCCCAACCACAAAACCCACAAACTCCTGGATCATCTATTCTACCTAATATGCGGCACAGATTTGAGCCAGATTCTCAGAAAAACCACAAGCTAGTCTGAACTCAGCAGGAACCTGTCCACTTCTATCATGAGGTCACAGACACAGCCTGTTGACTCAGGCTGGTAAAGTTTTCCTCACTGTGTTCGTGCTCTTACCCTGTAGTTGACCTTCTCCACTACCTGCTGAGGGTCGCTCTCCAGGATCACCCTGCCAACCAAGAGCAGTGAGGGTAAGATGGCAGCAACAAGCCACATGTACAGCAGTGAAGGTAATTAATTACTGTCCCTTTTTAAAGCTATACACATTCATAGACTCAAGCTCTTACCCCCCATCAATGATCTCATCCACCACCAGAAAGACTCCATCCAGATTATCCAGCAGACATCGTCTCTCTACATTTTTCCTGAAACAGAATGCAGGCATGTTTAGTCTCTACATTCTGTGATTTGATCACTCTACACTGAGCCACTGCTTTCAATAGCATACAGTACTGTGCCAAAGCCAGAGACCACCCAACCTTCATTGATTTAATTTTCTGTCAAAACAGCCAATAAGCACACGTTGTTCATTTGTCAAGGTCAGGAAAAGCAGAAAACATAGTGAACAGAAAATTACACTGAAACCTCAACAACTAAATATAATATCAAAAATATTTATTTATTATAATTTATTATAATATTTATTATTTTTTTGTGTCCACTTATTAGCTGGGCCTTCAGGAGCCCTTTATCATGGCTTCCATTCTTTTCAGGAGACTTACTGTCAGTTTTTATTTTAAAGGAATCTGCAGGGATGTTTTTCCACACCTCCAAAGTTCAGTCTCAGAAGTTGGTTGACATTTCTGCTTCTTACAATCCAAGTGATTCCAAACACATTCAGTGATGTTGAGGTCTGGATCCTGGGGTGGTCAGTCTATTGTTTGGACAAAATCAGCAGCTTCTTTGTTTGATTTGCAAATATTCTTTTTTGTCTATTTCCTTTTCTCAGGAATGGCTTCTTGATATCTACACATCCTTTCATTTTATAGTTTTATAGAATTATAGTGCTGAGTTTTGTTCTCACTGTGGAAGGATGGACAGAAACACTTGTGGATTTTTTCATAGCTGAAGCAGCTTGATTTTCTCCTCTCTCTCAAAGATGAATGTTTAATTGACATTGACAGTTTTGTCTACCAGGTCATATTTTCTCTATATCTTTAAATAACATTTTAAGCTTTTGGAAATTCCTGTTTTGTCTCTTATTTCGCTTTGACTTCCCCCACCCTTATGCAAATGGATCATCTCAGATCTAATCTCCTCAGAAATATCCTGAAAAATGGATTACTTTTACTTAATGGACATTTTGACTGGAAATGAAAGGTGGTCTCTGACTTGTGCACATGTGCGGGTGTGTGCACACATTTGTGACATTAAATAAAACAGCAAAAAACTTTCTTCTAGTGTCTAATTCATAATACATTATAACATAGATTGAAATATCCTATTATTGAATACAAAAACAACATTCACATGACAAGTGATTCCAAATTTCTGAACAGTAGTTTATGTCTCTTACTGTATGTATTTATCACTTAATAATTCTTGTTTTACTAGTTTGCATGTAATGTGAACTGTGTGTTTAACATGAACACACCTCAAGATCTGACTGAGTGATTCAAATAAGCAATTCAGCACTGCCATCAACATGAGCTGTGGAAAAGAAGAGAGATGTCAGATTCTTCATGCATCTTTATTTAATCTCTGTTTCTTTCTTATTCTTGATACAACACTGTAAAAGACTTAGGCCACCTGAGAAAATTACATTTAAAACGAATTATCTGAGCAGTAAGCAGAATCTGTTCAAATAAACATTATTATAAATTTTGATTTTATGTGTGCTAGCTCAGCGTGTTTGCTTAATCATTTCCAAACCTCACTATTCACAGTTACTATCCAATGATTATTTCAAGTTAAAGGGAATTCACAGATTTTTCAAAATTTCTGCTTAATCCAATGACTGAAATGGAAACAAACTCATTCAGAGTGGTTTGATGTAAATGGTTCATTGTGGAGATTCAGATTTCTGTACTGTGGCAGTGACTGGAACCGGCGTCACAATATCTATAGAACAAATATAGCCATTTTACTTACCTTTCAAAACCACCAGTGAATCTACACGTCTTCTAAATTTTAATTGCAATGTTGATAATTGTAAAGTTGTGATAAATCTGAGAACATAAGTTCTCATTTTGCCTCACAGCACCCTGCATTCACCCCTCCACCATGACGGATGTCATGAAAACATTTTAGACCAAAATTGTCTCTCAAAACTAGTGTAAAACAGCATCTCAGACATCAGGCATATTCATAACCATTTCATGTAATAAATCTCTGTGAAGAAGCTTTCAAAGGCATTAAATGCTTTGGAGGTCTGGTTCCTAACACCACTACTGTGAACAATTCTGTCTTAGTAACCTTCTCTAGAACAATGCATTTTACTCCATATCACTCTAAATGACACTGTTTAGACCTTAAAATCTTGAATTAAGCAGAACTTTTAGAAAACTGGTGGAATTCCCCTTAAAGGTAAAGCAGGTGTGCTGCTAGAGGACTACGCAATCCATATGGGGAGAAAAGGAACCAAACCGGTGTTCTTCTAACCATCTCGCAAGATATCAATAACTTCTCTGAAAACAAGGAATAACTGTTACTTTTTACTGTACTAATGTTTTTGGGCATTTTTTCTTATGTTATACAGTGTTTTTGGAAGCAAAACACACATATTACCCAGATTTTTAACAATATTTTATGCACAGCACTGTGTACTGTATATAAGGACTTGACTGATATATCATTTAGTAGATCAAATCAAAAATAAAATTAAGATTCAATCTTGTTTTATGTTCTGACAGAACTTTTTATAAGGGCTTTTAAAAATAAAAAGTAAACATGTAAAGTGCATCCAGATCTAACCTTTACCAGTAAAATAGCATGTTATAGCACAAAAGAAAATTACGTGAAGAGGGCTGATGAAAAATAAACCAAATTAAGATTTCTGGGAAACTCCACTGCCAGCACTCCAATATTTATATTATTCAAAAAGAAAAACAAATTTTCCTTGCTTTTTGAAACAAAGCAATTTGTAACATGTAACATGTTAAAGTTTTAAGATGTACCATTCACTACCCAGTCCATACAGTCCGTTTATGGAAATTATGCTACAAACAGCCCATTTTGAAGTCACTGTTTCTGTGACGCCATAACAACCAGCTCATTTACATATATCCACCTATTCAGCGAACAGATGCTTAGCTCCCCTAATTCACATTAAAGTTTTAAGGAGTGTTTCAGCTCTGAGTGTGGACAGCCAATCAGAACACAGCTCACTTATCTTATTTATCTTAAATCTGAAAGGCACATTAAGACCTGTTTAATTCTAAAGGATAAAGCAAGTTTAGAAAATAATAATGTAAAAATGAATTACTACCATTTTTGGCAAAACCACAAAATGTACACTAAAAATGTAGGATACGGGCCCTTTAAGACTTTGTGAGTTTTCCATTGTGACAACTGAAAACTGACAATTATATCCGTCAGTGAGGCTCTGTTTAACTACAACTATTGTAGTCTGTTTAATTTTTTATCCTATGGAACTGTATCACTACAATGATTGGTTATTGCCATTTTTAGCTTTATTATATCAGTTCTGGTATCAATTACACGTAACATTTTATTATATATAACAACACTGTTACTTCGGTCAGGACCCATTGTATACGTAGCAGACACTAAAAGAACAGACTCATTTCATTTTATGTGTTTATTATGATTCGTTCTATAATAATAGCTGATTATATAAAGTGAAACACAGAGACCTAGTCTGGATGTGCTCTCAGAACATTCAGCTTGACCTAGAAGATTGTTTACCTTTGCCGTGTTGAGCTGTGACCACCCATTTGGATAAACACTTAATTCAGCATACATGATAATGAGTGGAGAAAGAAACATACGGCAGCTCCAACATTTGCTTACTGACTGATTTTGCACAGAAATACCCACCTCATTCTCCTGTGCGCTGCCCACCACATAGAAGAACAAATCTATGCTGCTCTTGTAGACTATGGTCATGCCCTCCAGGAAGGCTATTTCATCTGAAAGAGCATATGGAGGCAACAGGCTGTGGGTGTTACTGAATAACATTCAATTCCTAAGGACAATTTTAAAACTCAGACAGTCACATACATGCATATACAAGCTTGGCCTGGGGACTAGCACGTAAAAGAAAGGTTTTAAACTTGATCAGTAACAACCTGCAGATACAATAGAGGACAGTCACTATTCAATTTCACCTTTTTTAGGGGGAAAAGAAAGAGTAGTATATGCATGTGTAGTGCATCTTAGACAAGACACAGCCTAGAAAAGGGTGGGAATGTGAGGGTGGGTTAGCAGTATTAATATCCAACAGTATCACCCCATGGGGCAGAGGGGAACTTTCTATTGTATAAGTGCTGGGCTTCATTCACACCACTGACAGAAACAGCTGGGAGTGGATGAACTAGTTCCCTGCCCTCTTGTTAAATTGTAAACTGAGATACAAGTGTGAAAGGGACAGCCTACAGTTTCTGATAACACATGAGACTGTCAGAGACAGTGGTGGGTCACTTGGTAAGCTATACTCACAAAAAACAGACTGTCTAGGAAATAAGCAGACATATTGTATAATTTATGAACTGGCATTATAATGCTAACTAGCATAACTAGCATTATAATGTTCCTTTGCTATGCTTTCACACTCCAATCTCTTCACATGTTCCCAAGATCTTTTGAAAAGATACAGTAGTATGCAAAATTTGGTGTGCCCCTGGTCAAATGACATGTTTTGCTGATTTTTTAAGTAAAGATCAGTAAAGACCACATCCTCTACAAAGAACACATATTTGCACATTTTAATGCACAATTACTGTTTATCTGCTGAATCAAACATATTGGATAATATATATATATATATATATATATATATATATATATATATATATATATATATATATATATTGTTTTTCCAACATATGTACAATTGAGTGAAATTAAGTGTAAATTGTGCAATTAAAACTGCAGGAAAATGTCATATTTAAGTTTGATACCTGTAGAGGATGTGTTAACATATTTTCATTTAGAATATCAACAAAATCATTTGAATGGGTTCACACTCTCACATAACTAAGCTTCCAAATAAAAACCATAGCTAATTAATTAACTAGCATTATAATGATCACTAATGTAACTGGCATTATAATGTTCTGTTTCTATTCTTTCACACTACAGTGTTGTGTGTTCCCAAAGATCTGGTAGAAAGCTAATATGAGGATTCCAGCTTTGGGTCTGGGTTTAGAGAACGTTAGAACGTTTTGAAGCTGTTTAAAACCTGATAGATCCATTTTACTACAAAAAGGCTTTTATCTGACACCAAAACAGTTCTCTTCAAACCACTGAACTCACGATATGTCCTGTATTAGACATGTTTACTTACTCTTGATGATACTGTATGCTCTTAAATAAAACTCAGGGTTAATATGATTCATCTTATACACACAATTTGGCATACAGAAACCTGAAGAACTTACTATCTGCTTTATGTGTTTTGTTGAAGACATTCTTCTCAAAATTCTTCTGCTCCTTCATTGAGGGGTACAACTCCGGGTCATAGTACTGAAAGTGCAGATTCACAACTTGTAATACACACGTATTATACATGTTATACATGCAGAGAATATAATAAAAAAGAACTAATAAATAACCCACATTTGTTTTAATCAGTTTGTCCGTGTTTTAAATGATAATGCGCACACAGGACTGTAAAGCTGTAGCTAATCTTTGCAGTTGAGGAGGGGCTTAAAGTGTACGCATTTCACTTTTACTTTATTGAGCTTCAGCTGTCTGAAAAAGAAAAATAAATCCAAGGATCTCCTCTACAGAATAATAAGATTGGCAAATACCTTTGAAAGCAGTCTGTTTCCATCGTTATCCAAGATGAAGACTGCTTTCACTGTGTACAGAGAAGGTTCCTTAATAAAAAATAAAAAAAAAATTGCATTACCATCTTTCGCTGCATATCATAACAGCTTTTTAATAGCTACAGTTATGTTTAGAGCTTAATATATGTAATCAGTTTTTGAACTGAGAAAAATATATTATGTAATATGTAATATGTGCAGTACGTTTTGCAGCTGAGAACTTCATTGGTATACAATCACATAATCATGAAAAATGAATTAGTGTCTGGAAAACCAATCAAAATGGAGCTGAAACATCAAAAAACGCATGAGAACCCTGCAGTTCATGGGAGCAGGCAGGTGTGTTGGTGGTGGTGGAGTGGGGGTGGTAGGTTGTGGATGCTTTTTATGTCTCTTCTTCCATTTCGCAGACTGAGTCTGTCCGGACCAAAGTTCTGTTATGCACTGACTGCCACTGATCCAGAGTCTGAGTGTACCACAGAACTTGGGCCCAAAGAACAGAACAGAAGAGTTTTGGGGGAGGTGGGCTGAAATAAAACTGGTTAATCACATTTTAGGAAGTGACATTTTGGCCTTTCTTAACACCTGTACAGTTCATCATGAAGCTGCGTCATTTTCACATACCTCACACTACACAGGCCACAACCAAGCAAACCATTTGGAACTACTTATACTTTATATATTTACATTATTTACATTTTAGCTTGATAAAAAAGTAAAAGGGCCCATATCCTATATTTTTTTCTCCACTCATAATGTTTTTGTGGTTTTATGCACCAAATGAGTCATAATTCAGTTTTACATGAATATTTTCTAACTACTCTTTATCCATTACAATTAACAGGTTGTTTTTGTTCCTAGGACTGATATAAGTAAATGAGCTCTGTTCTGATTGGCTGCCCTATCACATACCTTATTAAAAAGTTCAGTTTAAGCTGAAAGACTTCTTATAACTACTGCATGAATGGCATGAATGGGTAGGGCTAAAATGCTGTAGGCTAAACAGGCACATAAAAGATATAAACTGGTTTTTGTGACATCACAAAAACAATTAATTCAAAATGAGCTGTTTTTGGGGTTTAGTCTCCATATGTGGACTGTCTGGATTGGGCAGTGAATGGTAGGCTTTGTACCTTTAATAATGGTTATATAGTTCATCTATCTCTTTTATTTAAAATAAGCAAGAAAATGTTTTTTTCCATGATATAGGCCCTTTAAAAATGCTGATTTAAAAAAATAAAAATCTAATGGGCAGGCACGTACCAGTCCTTTTACATGGCGGTGGCTGGACGTGGGAGTGGAAAAAAGTAAATAGTGGTGTGTGTGTGTGTGTGTGTGTGTGTGTGTGTGTGTGTGTGTGTGTGTGTGTGTGAGGAAAAAGAGAGAGCGAGAGAGAGAGAGAGAGAGAGTGAGTGAGAGAGAGAGAGAGAGAGAGAGAGAGAGAGTTGTTTGCATAGAGGAGCATTTACGTATTTACGTGTCAACTAGTAAAACAGGATAATATACAGGATATAATGTGTTCCTGCTGCACAAAAGGCAAACTGGAAAGGTCCACCTGTGGAACCAACCAGCGCAAAAAGCGCAGACTCTCCAGTAAGCACGGACGCGCCACTACGTATCGAGGACGTGGCATCCACGTCCCACTTGGCTGGGCTCAGACAGCTCAACTTTTATCCAAGCCTACTGGTGTATAACTTTATGCAACTGGCAACTAAAGCACAACTACCATGTTGCTCTTCAGCAATGTCGCCGCTGAGGCATCCTCACAGAGAGAAACGGTCCTCATATCCTACGTGCAAAACCTGATTTTCTCTTCTGCCATACTCGCCTGAGTAACATCTGTTAGATTTGCCTTCTACTCCACACAGTATTTTTCCGCGGAGAAAGAAAGGAAAAAAGTGAAACACATATAGTCAATTGCCACTATCTACATTTTATTCCATAAAAAGACCTGTACCAGTTTTTTTCGACACCTACGGACCCCTGATAATAATGGCATAATGTAGGCTACAGGAGCTTAAAATAGTGTTTCAAGTTAGCACGCTAGCTTTTCAGTCAGCAACATATGCTGCTCGAGAACATACACAGAAACGTACGAACGTCGTCATTCTGCAAAAACGTTTAAAAACCGAAAGAATAACACCACACGGAATACAGATATCTTTCTTTCTTCAAACTGACTGCAAATGAAATCTCAGACCTACCAGAGCCCCGGAGTCCATCGCTGTGTTCAGTGTTGACGTGGACAGCTTTGAGCTGTCACTCCTGCGCTCTTGTAAAAGCCCGTGAGTCATGAAGGGGCGGGGCGACGCCAGCCAATCAGACGAGCGCGAAACTGATCTCTATCGACGTCCATGTTGGCTCTAAGATCACAGTGGCCTCCTGTTACCATGGCTCTCCGGTAGAGAAACGGAATGGAGGTGATGCTGCCTTCAAGTCCTGGCGGAAATATGAGCGCACACGAACGCCACCAGTGACTGTAGTTTAGTTATTCAAAAGCCACACATGAACGTGAATCGCTTTTTTAACGACTTTCTTTTATCCACATGCTAAAAACTGAACACATAGCTGTGCGATTCTGTGATTAAAATATTATGTCCGTTTTTGCTCATTTCTGTTGCAGAAGTTAAAATCTCTCTTTAACGACAGAAAAACAAAAGTAAGCAAACGGAAAAAAATTCGCATCCATTAGCATAACCTACGCTAACAGTGTACGCGCATGACTGCAATGAGTCATTAAATGTGTCTTTAAAGCTAAATTTAGCATAACCTTCAGAAGGTCTTGGGGAGATAAGAAATAGTTTGCTCGACGCAAACCGTTATAAAATGGGACGAGCGGTGGCCCTGCAGAAAAGTGACCATCAGAAACCTTTAGGATTGAAACCGAATGGTGTTTCTTTCTAATTGGAATTGGCTTCCAATGGAGACCACTAATTTCCTGTAGAACACCTTTAGATCCCATCAGGAAACAATCAAACGCCTTCAGAATCAGCCATTAGTCAGCTGTTAAAACATATCCTTTACACTGTGATATCAACCCACCAAAAAGTCAAGTTTCTTTAATTTTAGAAAGTAGAAGGATGTATTTCACTAAAAAACAAAGAAAACTCACCAACATATTTCCTTTTTTCTATAGTCAACGGGTTTTGGGCAGCAGGAGGCGGGCTTTACTGCTAGAGCGTGATGATTGATTGGCGAGCGGAGCAGCTCATTGGCTGTTCGCGCTCACTGACGTCATGGACATACCTGAGGTGCCGTTTTAAACTCCTACAGCTCGAGTTTTAAAGCTCTTAAAAATATAACAGCAGTGTTAAAATGTTTTATGTTGTTATGTGTTCAAGAAATTATCGAATTCTTTTACATTAAAAATGTTTAAGCATTTATAAACTATGATTTTGCTTAAATGCTCCATACTAACCCATTAATTTTGGACTCACTCGGGAGCGCCCTCTAGCGTTTGAGAAAACCGGAAGACATTGCAGAGAGCTAATTCTCCTCTCTACAAGTTCTCTGACACAACTCTCTGAGCCACAGATGAGGAAAAAAGAGATACGCAGTTAGTGTTATTTTTAATGTTAACTTATTGTTTACCAATCTGAACACTTGGTAAAGAAAAATCCACAAGTTTGGCCAACATTTCCTTGACTAATAACTGATCAGCTAATAGCTAACCTAACGTTAGCTAACATCTGCTAACTTTAGCTGGTGTGCTGTGCAGTGATGTTCTCATGTTTCTTAGCAAACGTTAGCTGTATGACACCAGAAATTTTAGCTTTTTTAGCTAAGACTTTATTTATTGACGATTGTATTAGTTTATTGATTGCTGATTGGTAACTAATTGGTTATTAGCTAGCTAGTATGCTCTCAGTTACATTTATTTTTGAGAATAAATGATCACCCTAGCGGTCTAGCTGTCCGAAGCGATGGGATATTTATTCAGACTGCATCAGGTGCACTAGTTCTACAATTACACACTGTAGTCCATCTGTTTCTCTGCATACTTTGTTATCCCCCTTTTACCCTGTTCTTCAGTGGTCGGGACCCCATGGACCCTCACAGAGCAGGTACTATTTGGGTGGTGTTGTGCTGATATGAGTGGATCAGACACAGCAGTGCTGCTGGAGGTTTTAAACGCTGTGTCCACTCACTGTCCACTCTATTAGATACTCCTACCTTGTCAGTCCACCTTGTAGAGGTAAAGTCAGAGACGATAGCTCATCTGCTGCTGCACAGTTTGTGTTGGTCATCCTCCAGTCCTTTATCAGTGGTCACAGGACGCTGCCCACAGGACGCTGTTGCCTGGATATTTTTGGTTGGTGGGCTATTCTCAGTCCAGCAGTGACACTGAGGTGTTTAAAAACTCCAGCAGCACTGCTGTGTCTGATCCACTCAGACCAGCACAACACACACTAACACACCACCACCACGTCAGTGTTACTGCAGTGCTGAGAATGATCCACCACCCAAATAGTACCTGCTCTGTGAGGGTCCATGGGGGTCCTGACCACTGAAGAACAGGGTAAAAGGGGCTAACAAATATGCAGAGAAACAGATAGACTACAGTCTGTTATTGTAGAACTACAAGTGCACCTATATAGTAAGTGGAGCTGATAAAATGGACAATGAGCGTAGAAACAAGGAGGTGGTCATGATGTTAGGCCTGACTGGTGTATGTGTTAGAGCAGGGAAGGTATAATACTGTGCAGGGAAGAGGGTCCCTAGGACTGCACGCATTCTGTGTATTAGTTTACATCTGTCTTGTACCCTAAAATTGTTGTAGTTCAGAATTAGTCCTTTGCATATTGTTTATTTAGATTTGGGTTGATGGGTTGTACAAAATGTCTTAGTGACAGACACTATGACAAAGACTGACTGCATCAACTACATCAACTGCATGCTACTGTGAAACAGCATATGTAATGTGAAACAGGATAAAACTTCACTGTAAGTACTCATTGTGTAGGTAGCTTTTGTGCTAAATCTAAAGCTAATCCAGTGGTTCCCAAACGTATTTCAGTTATATCCCCTGCCCTGCACATTTTTAGTGTTTTCCAAGCTTCCAACACACGTTATTCATCTAAACAGATAATTAACAATCCCTAACTGAATTGAAGTATAAGAGCTGGGAAAACGTTAAAATGTGTTGGGCGTGAGGAACAAACTCTTGTCTAAACTATTTATTGCAATTTCATCATCATGACCATCATATGTAGTGTCCAAAATGAACAATTTGTCCTATGTGCTTTATTTTATTAACAACAAGTAAACTGGTCGTAAAACTGCATCATAGTGAGGTGATTGGTAACCGCATCATTGTTAAGGTGAGAGTAATATAATTTTTACACACCCCTTGGAACTGCAAAGGGTAGTTTGCAGTTCCAAAGGGTGTTTGCCATGATGCTCCATTTTTGTGACAAATACAAGCAAAATACACATGCAGAAATTTGTAGACACCTGGTCGTCCAATGTTTATTTTGAAATTAGTGGTATTAATAGGGAGCTTGTTCCAGCCTTCGCTGTAATATCAGCCTCTACTCTTCTGGGAAAGGCTTTACAGATGATGGAAGATTGCTGTGAAAATTTGTTTACATTCAGCCACAATTTAGAGAATTAGCATTAGTTGGGTCACTCCAACTCATCCCAGAGATATTCAGTGGTGGTCCTGGGCCTGTCGCAAGAACGACAAATCACCTAATCTCAATTATTTGAGAAGATCTCCGTTTTTTGAGATGACTGCAATAATTTGCCACAGTAGTTAGATTTCACAGTCAAATTATGCTGCAACGAACAAGCTTTGAATTGGTTGTAATGGTTCGAGGTGAATATGTTTAAATAAACAGAAGCAGAAATGCAGGGGTGTCCAGTCCAGTCGCGCAAAGGGCTGGTGTGGCTGCAGGTTTTAGTTGCAACAAAGACAGAGCTCACATGATCAGTTGTTTAAAGACGGAGACTGACTGATTAAACTATTGGAATCAGGTGTCCTCCTCTTGTTTGGAACAAAAACCTGCACCCACTCTGGCCCTTTGTGGATAACATTGGGACGCTTACATTAAAAAGAAAGTATCCACTCTCCCTAAACTGCATGGAGTACTAACCTACAATCTCAAGGGATGAAGCAAGCAAAATTGGGACTGGGAGGTGGGACTTGTCCCAAACCTTCGAAAGTTTTTTTTTCAGTGGAGCTCACTATCCAGGAAAAATGTTTTACTACTATGCGGCAGTGCATGTACACCATATTTTAACGTTTTAATTTCCATCCTGACTCAATAATGATACTTCTTCTAATTTTAACACAACAGTTGTACCTAGTGCAATTTTAAATAAAATAAAGTAAAAGTTTAAAGGTTTACAAATGCTCAGCTTGTGACAGGCACCTTTACTAAACATTTTGTTGATGTCACACCAGAGAACAGATTTTACAGCCAATGATTGAAAAATTAGGTATACAAGTATGTAATTTTATGTGAATATTAAAAAAAAAATCCAACTTAAATTTGAGCTGACAAACTAATTTTTATCTGCACTGATGATAATTTTGTAAGTAAAAGATGCCTGATCTTTGACATAAAATATTTTTCCTTTTTTTGTGGCATCTGTCTTTGTAATTCTAGATTTCTACATGTTCCTGTTAATTGAATTCCTGGGCACCAAAACAGTGGCAGTGGTGCCCAAAAGCTGGTATGCTAATGGGATGACCTATTGGCCAAATTACAAAAGTGATAATCGGATAGAAAGAGCAGTGAAGAATGCAGAGGAACCTGGATCAGACTGGGAAAAACATGTCAGAATTCTTAAATCATGCAGTAAGCTATTCCAAGAAAATATTTTTCATTAAAACTGAGGCTGGCTTTACACTTCAAAACTTTCACACAACTAGATGTAGGTTGCAAGTTTCGTTAAACATAATTCTGTGCAACTTGACAGTTACTCACTCACTCATTTACTTACTCATCATCTAAGCTGCTTATCCTTCTGGGTCGTGGTGAACTTGACAGTTACACAAACCAAAATAAAATATACCAGTACACTGAATTATTCTACTAGTTTCCAAGATTAGTAGCTACTTAGTTTTCTCGCTAATTTAAATTCCACGCAACGTGTTGTTTACCTTTGCATCTTTATTTGTATTGCCTTGTGTTATTTTTCCAAGTATCACTGTTACATTTGCAGAATGAGAGCAGTCCTAATATGTTAAATATTCTAGATTATACCAACCAAAACGATTGTGATAACAGCAAGCTATTGTCGTGGCTGAGTTTCAGAGTGGTTTTAAGTGAGTTGTGTGAGGCTTTACATTATGCAAC